ATCTGGGTTGAAGATTTACAGAGAAGAGACAGATGATAAAGACAGAGTGAATGATGAGAAGATGAAGACAAGAACCACACTGAAGAGAACCTGTGCAACTGAAATCCAAATGGGGACCTGAAAGGTTATGATTCTGTTGAAGATCAGGTTCTCCAGGAAGCAGACCCCAAAACAGAGTTGAGCATGGAGGGTGTTTATTAAAAAGTGCCGTTAAGATCAACACCTGTGGGAGAAAGAAAGGAAGCGCTGGATCTAGAATGGTCCTTCTGATTTGTCCCTATCAGGGCTGAAATGACCAGGCTTTACACCTCCTCTTCCCTTCGATCAGTTCACTGCTTTGGACAGCTCCATGAAGGCTGTGTGGTCTTGCAGCTCGGGTGCTATGTGAAAGCACTGACCCCCAAAGGCTACCTTACTCCCTTACACTCCCAGCAGCAGTGGTATCAAGTCCTCTACTGAAGCATCTGGGCAAGCATCACCATGTTCACCACTGATTCTAACTTCATACTTTAAGGACGTGGAAACTCAGAAGCAGAAAGTAGTCAGTCAGTTAGTTACAAATCTGCATTTAAAACACAGAACTTATCATTCCGTGTTTCTTACTATTCTAGCCACAAAAATAAAATAATTAAATTAAATTAAATTAAATGTTGATGTCTATTTTGGAAATAATAAGCACGGAAATATTTATTTGGTTTAAGGAACTGCTTGAATTGGGTAAAGAAAAGGAATGAGTCCAAACAATTCCAGACAGGTTTATAAAGAGAACTAAACTGTCAAATTCATCACTAAATTATGAATAGAGATCTGCCAAATTTTTATACATGAAAGTTTTGTTTTTGAATAGCTTTACATATGCTTTACAAGGTATTCTGTTGCCCACATATGTGTTACCAATATATACTGTATTAAATGCCACCTTTTTTTCTAGGTCTTCAATGGGTCTCAGTGGGAAAAGCATTAAACTGCTAACTATGCTCAGGGTTGACACAAACCAGGAGAGTATGCGTACTTTATTTAGCTAGTTGATTAACCTGTTTGGTTCTTCATTTCCTAATTTTATTTGAAAGTGATTAGATATGATAATACGACAACTTCCCATTTAAAATGCTGTGGATAGTAACAGAAATATAAGTTCTTTGACTATGTGCGTAAATATTTCTTTTAATATCATGCTTCCTCTCGTATACCACACTTTGGCCACACTGTCCTTTCTGTTCTGTGCTTGCCAGGCTTTTTTCCACCTCAGGGTTTTCATGCTCCTTTTCTCTGTCCTGAACACGGACCCCAAGACATCACATGACAGACCCCTTTTCACCTCTCAAGTGATGGCACTAAGGTGATCTCAGAGGTCCACACAATCTACGTATTCCCTCTCTGCTTAAGCCAAATTTCCTTTAACTTATCTTCTTATCTTGGTAACACAATATCTCAGATCATCTTGTTTATATAGTTATCTGTTATTACCTACAATATATCAGTGCCTGGCATTTAAGTATTCAATCATTCGTGTGAAAGAATGCATGCAGGTGGTGAATGAATATGGTTTATATGATTTTAAATATACATCAGAAACAATAACTGCTCATTTATTTCTCTGGAAAAAAATCAATTCATTCTATATTTCTGAATAAATCTGAATAAAAGGGACTGCTAGTCTCTATCTAAATATCAACACATTTAGTAAACAAGTTATTTTTGATCTGAGTCTTCCTAAAGGACATAATGATGCACAAAACAATATGTTTCTGTCTCCACAGATAATATATTTTTCGAGGTCACAAAACTACTAACTATGTGAGAAACATTTCATCTTCTGACTGGTAAAACATTTTAAGAAAAAAATGTTGAAAATTCTTAAGAGTAAATGTCCAATTTTACATTAAAAACAAGCCTATGATAAAGACAGTTTGTATAGGAGAGACAACAAAAACAACCTATAAATTAAGTCACTAGACTTACAATAATATTTTTGCAAGAAGGTTTTATAATTTTTGGCTAGCTTTTAAGCTAGGAATATAAGATGTCCCAAGAGATTAACTGAGTGCAGGAATTCAACCTCTGACAGGGTCAAATGGAATGTCCTTTGTGATCCTGACTAAACATTTACTCTTATACTCAAATTTGGATCATTCTATTTATCTAAGTCTATGTTTTCAATGCAACATTAAATACTTTTATTTTCAACTAGGCAAGGAATTAAATTTTATTTTCATCTACACCTATTTCAAGTTATAAATTCGATATACATTCTCTTGTCTTTATTAGGGAAATATTCTTTTATTTACCTAAAACTTTCTAATAGTTCTTCTTTCAACTCTGTAGTTATTCTAGAAATTTGGTTCTTGTGGAAAATACCACGTTTACTCTTCCCAAACCATTTATTTTCATGAGAATCTGATTCTATCACCTTTGAAACATCATCTTTTGAGATCAGTGAGGAATTATTAGGTATAGGAAAGCCTGGTCTAGAAAGTAGATTTTCTTATAGAGGCTGGAGGCGGAAATAACTGGGACTGATGTCAGGGTCATAAAATCACAAGCAGTATCTGAAGAAGAATGGATGCAAAACAAGAAAGACATCTTACTATCTTATGAAGTATAGCAGAAATGAGAATAAATAAATCCTGGAATTATATTTTAAATGCATTTGGCATGCCAAATTTTAAATAGTAATCATTCACTAACTGAAATTAATGTTAATTTCTCCAAATTATCAGGCAGTTATCCTAGTCTATAATAACATTAAAATGAAGAAAACTGAAAAATATTAAAATAGAACCTTGAATGCAGGCAATATCCTTCAGTAATCATTTTACACAAAGACTAACTCTATGTTGTGCCATAGTTTAACTTACCTTATCTGTTTCATAAGATATGTTAAATAATGTAAAAATTCAGGGGAGGAAAAACTGAATATGGGCCACTGTCATATTCCACATTCACATTTTAGCAACCTCGCAGAATTAAAAATCCAAATGAAATGTCAAGATAATTATTTATTTTACCCAAGTAATATTGTAAGAAGCCTTGGATAGCATTGTTATTAGCTTCAAGGAAACAAAAAACAAGTACAAAGCTAAGTTAAAGGCAACTTTATTACAATACTTTTCCAAACTTCAAAATGCATTCATTATTGCATTCAGATCTAATATATAATACATTATATTACAAGACAGAAAGCATTTCTGGTCAGGAATTTAGCTTGCTTATATTGCCCCAAACAGAGCTTTCTAGGAATAGCAGCAACACACAATAGTTTATATCACTAAGTAAAATATTTCTATGATGTCACATAAAGAATCATTCATATTGTGATTTATTTTATGATCATTTCCTCTGATTTAGAATAAAGCAAGGCCATCTTTTCTATATCTTACTAGTTAAAGCTTAGAGATATTTCCTTTGGTAGAAAATAGAATGGTTTTTAAAAAATTAACCAAACCAAAAGAACATTGTATTTCCCCACTGCAAACAGGGGCAGAATTCTCTTCTTTCCCTTTTTTAGGAGCCAAATCTGGGCTTTCATCTCTTCATATAACCATCTTGAATAGTACCTTCTTTAAAAGATACCCAAATCTATAATGAACTCTGTTCTAATAAAGTCTTCTTGTTTTAGCTTGCCTCCTCATATTTGCTTATTTAGAATAATTTGCAACCCACTTTTAACATTATAATGAACTTAAGTCACCTTGAGAAATGCAGTAACATAAAGGACGTATTTTTCAAATTAGACAAGAACAATATTTGCTCATCTACCTCTGCTTCAAACGACCAACCCAATTCAACTTATGAAAAGAATTCCTTTTCTAAGGTTACTACCCTAAAAAACAATGGAAACAGATATAAATCCACTGAATAGATCTAGTCCCTTGATACACTCTCTTGGTTTAACATTTGTGAGCTACCGACTAGCACAAAATGTGTTCATCCTCCTCGTTTTCACAACAGCAGGAAATGGTTAGAAAAGTATAGAAAAGGTTCTATTTTTCATAAGGCAAACTTAATACAGCTTTTGCTATGAAGTCGGAAAAAAAGAAAAAGTGAATGAAAAGGTATGTGCTGGCTGCTTGAGGGAGCAAGGCTCATAAATCACTGTACATTAAGAGCACGTGCTGAAACTTCATGGTGCCAGTCACGTAATTTTGTGTATTTGGGACTAAAGACGTGAAGGGGTATCTTTTCCCTGTGGAAATAAAAAAAGAAAAAAGAAAAAGAAAAGAAAAAAGAAAAGTGATAGAAGAGTCATAAGAAAGAGAAAGTTGCTATACTTTGTTCATCATGCAGATAACATGCCTATTAAAGCTTAATTTCACATAGCTGTTTCGTCTAATAGCAAAAGATATGAAGGACAGAACATTTTTAGAAATGCAGAAATTAATCTACAGAGCCTTTTTGGAAACATCAATTTTTATGCCCAAAATAAAGTGACTGCAAGACACATGAACTCATTCACAGAGATCTATAGTGTTAGCAAAGCACCCCCAAATATACCCCTCTGCCCACTTATGTCAATACTAAAGAAAATAAGCCTTAGACATAAAATCCAGACAATATCTACTAATTTTAAAATCTGTAAGTTGTACATTTAAATCCCACAAAAGGCACCAAGTTAAATGCTTAGCATCTAGTTGCAAAGACGAAATGCCATACCATTATACTTGAAAAAGTAAAAAACAAATTGAGACCATTCATGAAAAGCATTCAATTTACAAAAAAAAAAAAAAAAGACAACTTACTTTGCCTTCTTTGTATTATCAGTTTCAGATTCTTTCACTGAAATATAATAAGCAGATCCAGTATTAGTTTGCTTTTTTAAACTTTAAAATCACTTAAGCAGTTACATGTACCAATCAATACCAAATAGTCAAGCTGCATAGAACCACTAAAAAAAATTCCCTATCATCCTGTCATTGGTTGTGTACTACAAGCAGCACTAGCACTGCTACTACTGCTTCTGTACTTCTTATTGTAACTCTCCTGGGCTGGTTTCTTATTTACAACACCTGTATTATGCATGGCATAATTTAAAGGCAAACTGTCTCAAGAAAATTATTGTTTCCAAATAATTGTCTCTCTCTCTAAATGCTACTCTCCATGTAAAGAACATTCATCTACTAGAATCCTTGGGTATTCACTTACGATGTTCAGTCCCAGTGATCTGGGCCAGGATTCGAAAAGAGCGAGACTGCGTTGTGCCCGTCCTCGGACGCCAGTCTTCTGTATCCTCAATCAGTCTCTTCTTGCTGGCATCGCTGTGGGTGGGTATGTGATAAAACTCCGTGTTACGGTCCACAATGTGTTTTCTCGGTGGGCTAGGATTAGGAAGGAAAAAAAGAATTAAGCCGTTTTTAATAATATTAAGGGCAAATGTTCCCTGCCAAAGTATTTACGATGTATACATTTAATACTCAGCGTTTTTATGTATTTTGCTTTCAGAAGTATACACAGTCTCATTTTTTTAAAAAAGAGCATTCTTCTAAAATAGAGTAGACTTTTTTTATTAGAAAAAAGGTATGTATATGCTAATATAAAATATTAGTATAAGTATTCAACAAAAAGATTACCGTTTAGGTGGGATTTTCCTTTTAAGTGACAGAAGAAGGCATCAGAAGAGAGATTTCCAACATGATGAAAAGGAAAAGAAAAGATTAAGAAAAGAAGGGAAATGAGAAATTAAAAAGTTTGTAGAAGTTAAAACAATTTGAAGTTACATACTTGAATTGTTCATCTAATGCCTAACAAAACACAGATATGGACTACATTCATAACCACTGTTAAACATCGATAAGCTGCTAAAATGTACTGGCTTTCACAAAGTCACACTGTTCTGAGGATTACATGAAATAATATATGGGAAAGGATTTGTAAACTACAGAGTTCAAGAGCTTTGAGTTTGCTAAGAACATTCATTTTTCTCTTAATAAAGCATAAATATTGGGGAATTCACAAGTACATTATTTTAACACTTTAACCTGAGATCTAGTAAGTATAATAAATACTCCTTCTGTCTCTCCTCCCTCTCCCCCCAAATAGGATAAATGAAAACTTTTGGAGACTATGAGTTCAATTGCAGAAGAGGAAAAGGAACCTGAGTCTGGACTAGCAGACTACTGGCACAAGATCCAAGTAGAGCAAGTGTCCAAGAGCATCAGATGTGGGTGGCAACACCTGCTCGGTATAACTTACTGCTAGAAACTCACGGTGCTATCAGAATCCCACATGACTGCTGCCATTTTAATAGTTACACTATCAAAACTGCCTCACTACACTAGGAGAGTTTTTGCCCAGTAAAGGACATGATAGAATTAACATTAACAATGGCTTTAGTGTCAGACAGATAACAGCCTCAGGCACTACATCTACCACTCAGTGTATGTTTTATGCAAGTCATTTGATTTCTCCAAGTCTAGATTCTTCCTAAGAAATGGGGATTGCACCTACTTTAAGTTGTTTTGAAGAATAAGGTAGACAATGTATGTAAAGTGTTTTCTACAGTACCTAATGCAGAGTAATGATTTCATAATGCTTTCTTTTATGATTACTAGAAAAGTTATTTGCCATGTATGTTCTAAAACTGGGTCATCTGCATAAATAATGAAAAGAATCAATAGTATATACATAATTCATAATCCTTATTATAATTTATAGTAAAATTTTAATATTCCAGAAATGAAATAGCTAAGATCTTTTACTAATATTGAACGAAACCTAATCCTTTTTAAAATAGATACTTTTTTTAAAAAATTAGAAAAGAACAGATTACTTCATAAGCACACTGTCTTTGGCCGATATAAATTCCTAAACAGACAATACTTTATCTTATGCAATTACCTGGAAAACTTTATTTTGCTACTAAATTTATTGTTTTAAATTTCTCTATAATTATTGAGCGTAGTTTACTCTCAAATAGTGCGAATGTCAAGTATAAGACTATTTTATCATCTATAAAAGTTTCGGTCTATAAAAACACAAAACAGTAGTATCTAATTAAGACACTAAGAATAATAAAATGACACCACTTAATATTTTTTAGCTACAACACACTTTCAAAAAGTATATTACACCTTGGACTCTGTGACATTAACCACAGCAAAGGTCCTGTGTTAAGTGACATGAAGTTTCTGAACATTTACTTTGTGTTTTCTGGATTTGAAACTCTAGACTCTGATGACTATGATTAAAGAATAGAATAATCTCCATGATTTTATCTTTTTAAAAGTATTTGGGAAGAATATAATCTTAACTATCAAGAGCAAATAATTTATTTCAAAATACAGACATACAAAATTAGAAAGTTTATTCAAATTTTCAAAAAATACTAAACAAGAAAGGCCCAAACTACACCTCTAACTTCAGTATACACTGTCTATAATACTTATCTATGCCCTTAAGGTTTAGCTTATTAAGTTTTTCCACTGATAAGTGTGTGTATTCTAAACATACCCATCAATCCATATGAAGTTTTCTAGCACAAAAAAACATGTTTCCTGGGCTCCTTAACATATTTGAAAATTCCTGCATGGAGAAGATAACTAACAAAATTTGCTGGTGGTGTTAAGTTGAAAGCAACACAGAAAGTCACAGAGAGACGATGATGAAAATTACAAAAGAACCACAGATTAGGTACTTACACAGTGCCAGGGTTACTGAAGGAGGAATAATACACACAAAAAAGATGTGATAGAGTAGAGAAGACATTGATGTTCCCAGGATAATGTAAAATAGACAAAGATGAGGCCAAAAAAAGAAGAAAAGAAAAAAATGAAATAACGAAATTCAAAACAATGAATTTACATGAAGATGTTACACAAACATCATGCTTCAAAATAATCAGGTAAGTACGGACAAAAGTGAATAAATGTTAGTCAAAATTCTGTTACATTGTTATTATTTGAACAGTTTTATCTACATTTTTGTTTCCAAAAACACCAAAAAATACTTTATATATTAATGCTAATTCAAGTCTCAAGTTACTAAGATCAAGAGAAAAAGATCTACTATTTTAAAAATATTTTTAGGTTTCTATAACATTCATTTTAGCATGAATCCAAATTACCATTATGTTCCTAATAAAAGGTAGAAAATAAAATAATTGGATGTAAGGTGTAGAAACAGATTGTTCTAGAATCGCTTTTAAAATCAGAGAATAAAACAGCTCTTACATAATATAAGTAGTATACAGTAATAGCAAGTGTAATCTCACATAAATCATTCTGAATCATATGTTATAAAGGAATAATACACTACTTGAAAATTTTTGTTAAAATGTAGTGGTTATAATGAAAAATATAAGCAGCAGAGGGTCATAAATACTAGGCTATCATTTAATTTTTATACTCTCCCCTGTCTACCACCCTCATTCACAAGCAAATCCCAGTAAGTTTAGAACTGATTTATAGGAACTCCATAGTTCTGTATTGTAAGTGACTTAATTATTATCCAGAAAGGCATGTCTCATATGATATAATAAAGGAACTAGGTTAATAACATCAGAAGAGGGAAAACCTCAAAACATAATTCAGCCACATAGTCTATTAAGTACAGAATCATTTTTAAAAAATACAATTGACCCTTGAACAACACGGGGGTTAAGGAAGCTGACAACCCCCCGCCCCACCCCACACAGTTGAAAATCCAGGTATAACTTCTGACTCCCCAAAACTGTGCTGTTCCTTGGTGTCGGCTGCGGATTTGTTCCAGAACTCCTTGGACACCACACTTCACAGATGCTCAAGTTCCTTATACAAAATGGCACAGAACGATGCACACAGTCATCACTCTGCATCCCTGGAATCCCAACCACTGACCGAAAATATTGTTTTCGTTCCACAGTTGGTGAATCCATGGATGTGAAACTCAAGAACATGGAGAACCAACTGTATGTTTACTGAAAAAATTACACATGTAAGTGGACCTGTACAGTTGAAACTATGTTGTTCAAGAGTCAACTGTATACTCATATTCCACTAAAGACAGAGAAGATTAAAGTATAAACTCTAGTTTGTCAACACACTGTTGAATCAATCCTCCGCAATAAAGTTTAGTCAGAGTAACTAATAATGCATTATTAACACAGTGAGAAAAACTGCCCACCAGTTTTAACACTAAGATGGTGCAGTGTGGCTCTACTTCCAAATGTCCAAGTCAGTTTCATAAGCTCAACAAAGATCTGAATTTCACTGAACTGGGCTGGGGCAGAGTAAGCCGATTTCAGTAGTTTACCAATATTTATTTTCTCTTTAGCCACAATACAAAGCATTCCCTCCTCTGCTTTGCTGTTTTAAGTAGTAGGGAAATGGTTTTTCAAAATAAACTTCCCTGAGCAGAATTTTAGATATATATTTAAACATTATAAAGTTTCGGGAAAAAATTTTATGTCAACATAAAGTTGGGGTGGGGTTGTTCTATGGTGTAGGGAGGGGCAGCAAAGGGGGGGGCGTAGATTGGTTTCAATGTAAAGATGCCTATTTGAATATGCCAAATATTTTCATGCATTTTAGAAAATGTGCTCAAGTGGAACAGCCCATCCTATACTACAGTGGCATTTGTGCCAAGGTGACAGTCAGATGACCTGGCTTCTTACCCTGGTTAAGTCCTGGGCAAGACGCTTATTTTTCCTCAACAGTGAAATGAATTATAATTTCTTTGTCTTTTAGACTTCTTGTAGGGCGTATGTCTAACATATTTATTTAAAAGCACTCTGAAAACTATATAAAGGTTTGTTGTTAGGATGGATCCTTCAACTGTTTAATATAAAAATAAGTACTATCAAGTCCAACTGTAGTTTATGCACATTATGTATTCAGATAGCCTCAATTCACTCACATTATCTTCAAGTCTATAATATTAAAAACAAATTCCAAGTAACATAAATAAGCCCAGATCACAAATAGGTGATACAAAGGAAGGCACGCCAAAATCTGACTTCAAAAAAATGTAGGCTCCAATCTATCGCTTACATATTGCATGACTTAAGAAAATTAAGTAACTTCTCAGTGTTCAATTTTAATGAAAATTAAATGACGTAATGCATTTAGAAACACCTAGCACAATGCACAGTAATACCCAAAAACTAATCTAAATTTTAATTTAGGAAAAGTATTTAACCTAAATTAGGCTTAAATTTATTTTTCCACGTCCCATTTTTCTCTCTTTACAAGTCAAATTGTTTGTTATATTGGAATCCAGTAACTAATCAAAGTCGTATAAGAATTTAACTTCAAAGAGACAAACAATAAATCAGGGTTTGGGGATTTTTCACTAGTACCTGGTTGTGCAATATTTCTATGTGAATATAACATGAAACTATTCAATTAGTGAGACCACAGCCACACTGGAATAAAGGTGCTCTAATAATTCAATAGATAACTCTCTTTAGTGTCTTATATATTCTGTATTTCCAATTCTACTCTACAGTGTAATAATAAAGAAATTTCAGCACAAGTTCAGAATCATAATAAAATTTTCATAAAATAAAATTTTTAAGTTTTTATCTAATATGGTCTTTATCTACTTTTAAAGCTACTGTCAATAACAACAAATACGAAAGTGAGGTTTTAAAGTTTACCACAGTGATTTCCAGTGTCTATGCCAACTACATGTGACATTTAATAAGTTGATAATTATCTCTTAACTAATTTCAAAGGTATACAGATTTTCTATCATCCAGTGACACACATCTGTACATACAGAGGTCTAATCTCCCAGCAATATTGTTTGAAAAATCCAAAAGGTTCTTAGAGACTTTACCTGAGAAACACTGTATTTTTATCTGAATTTGGAAATCAACTCAGTTTCATATATGCCAATCATTAGGTATGTTTATGCTTTCTCTATCTTCATCTTTAGCAGTCTAGACTGATACATATTACATTCCCCCAAGGATTACCTCTTTTAAACCATTGCACAGCAAACCCCACATATTTTATAAACAAAGTTAAACACCAATATTTATTACCATACAGCAATTCACCACCACATAGCAATGCAAACCAAACTTATTTAAAAGACTAAATGTGGTTATTCTACATTATGGCTGTTTTGCAAAATTTAACTTAATTTTGCAAAACTCGGGCATTCATGCTGTTGACTCATACATAAATCACCATATTTCCTCTCCAGTAATGTGGATACTAACTTTGTCACTTGTGTTTTCTGCAAAGAGAAAAGCATTTAAAAATATTACTACTATACCATTATATTTTGTATCTTCCAAGGCCAGGTTCTTCAAAATACCATATAGGAAATGTTAGAAAAAAATGCAGTCCAAAGAAACTGAAATTTATTAACAGAGGATGCATGAAAGACTTACCTCTTGAAAGCAGTGGCACATTATAATGCAATGGCATGTGGAAAGGGAAAAGGTAGATCACTTAAACTACCTGATGCAAAATAGCTTCTCTTCCAGTTTAGTCCCATTTTGCTGTGAGTAGGAGAGTAATAAAAAAGCAGCGAGCCAATACCAATAGTTTTTATATGTAAAGGAAAGATTAAAAATTTCTTATAGTGCCTGATTCATTATTATTTATGAGGAAAAGGAATGCTTAGATAATATTATTAAGAAATATTCTGAAAATATCAACATAATTATAGATGTTATACTATTAGAATGAGTAAATCTCTCAGTAATTATACATAATTAATAAGCACTTGTTTCTGTCGTATGTTTATTAATGCTATATATATTTGGGTGAAATATCTATCACACTGGCAAAGTAGACAGTTACTTTAAATCACTTAAAAACTAAGTCCCCTTGCTTTGAGGAAAAAGATAACATGCATTTAACCTTACGTCTTTCTAAAATCTTAAATTTTTGGTTACCAGCATACATTATTTTTTAAATAAAATGTAACTAATAGAAAGTAACAATTCTCAACTTTAAAAAGAGTTCTGTTTCGATTCTTTTGTAACATTATAAAAATATGAGAAATTTAATAATTACACAATTAGTAAAAACACTAACAGTGATTTCAGAAAGTTTGGCACTTGATGCAGGAAATGCACTGATCATTAAAACATCATCTCTTCAAATTGACACATCACTGACAAGTAAAGTGTGTGATTTATTTTTGATTTCTCTAATCTAAATATAGTTAAGAGAAAGGGCACTGCAAATTTGTTTTAGAATTTCACAGATATCACACTTTGTTTTTGAGTAATCGAGTCATCATTGTCCTAACATCTGGACGACATATGAAATCAAGCTATTTTTAAATACACCCAGGTTGCAAATGCAAAGCAGTAACTTGCTTGTTAATGATACAAAATATGTAATAATCTCTCTTCTCCTGAATCTTGCACAGTGCTGGACACCAGGCATGTGCTCAATAATCACATGGCGATTGATTAAGAAGCTATGATAAAGTCTGTATAACTATACCACTGCCTATAGTTCCAGTTTGAAATAATAAGCTTTAAATCACTTCAAGTTTAATCATCACAGCTGTACTTATAAAATACAAAATTTAAGCTCGATATTTACAAATGTTTTAAATGTAGTGCTTTTCCAAGCCTCAATTTGTTTTTACCTCTATAATTTTCCATTAAAAACACTTTCATATAAAATTTCTACAAGTGTTAATAAGAAGATTTTAGCTCAAACATCTCTTTCAATGGACTTTTTTTCTATTGAACCTGGAATTTAATGAACATAGTAAACTGTTTTGAGTTTTCTATGGGGCAAGTATTTATCAGGCAGCATCTGCCTTTTCAGAATATCTACTTTGATTACTCTTAAATATATTGCTGTATTATTTATATATGTGTATATATATATAAATAAAACCAAACACATCTCAACACTACATACTATTTCTCTTCCTCACATGAAAGAATAACACTCTTCAAAGACACTAATTTTCCCCAATATATGTATCAAAACTTTAAAAAGCCAGCCATAACCACAAAACCCTATGCAGAGCCCAGTAGTAGCTGCTCTCCCAGACCTCTTCCTGCTCTCTCTCAGCAGCAGCCTGGAACCCTGCCACTCTCTTTTTCAAAGCCCCAAAGTTACCATGGCAGCAGTGCTACTGAAAGCACAGTCCCTTCATTACATGAATTAACATTAGGAAGGGATTATCTCAGAACCTATCCACACAATTATTTTAATTATATTTTCCTGGGAACTGGCACTGGTAAAAACCATCACACATGCAGATTATTTCTCTTGTTTTCCTTTTAAAGTACATTTTGTCACAATAAATCTGATCAAAATGAGTTTATAAAAATGACTTTGGCTTAAAGTATGGTCACTGAATTAAAAAGATATAAAATGACCATCTGTAAATGCAGAGTGCTAAAAACAGACTTTAACCATATTTTTAAATGTATTCAAAAGGAGAAAATTATAAGAAACAGATTTTCAAAAACTTTTGCTAACATTATACATTTAGTTTTCATTGCTTTAAATCCATTCATTTTTAGAAAAATCTTTACAATGAAAATACTCTTTAATTTCCTTCTGATGTTTTATAAGCATCCCTTGATGTTACTGTTCTGTCATTACTGTTTGCTTTTTAAAGACTAAATTCTAGCTTAAGCTTATCTGAAAAAAATGTTGCTAGCTACTGACCTACGCTAATGCATCACAGAGACATGAGTCAAAATTAATTTGTTTTCTATCTTTGTAAGACAAATTCCTAGGGAAAAAAAGCTTCTTATAAACTCATTTCCTCTCTTCTTAAGATATAATACATATCTTAAGAAGCTGACCCCACTATAACCACTGTTTAAACTTTTTGTGGCTAATAAAAGGATGGAAAATTTGAGGAAGAAAGATTCAAGATTTGCCTTGCATTATAAGTGCCAGCTGCTCAATGTTGTGACAGGACTTGGAGAAAAAGAGTTACAGAGTATGTTACATGGTTCACAACATGTCAAAATGCATAATTAGGTTTTGATTAACCTTTAATTGCCTTGCAGAAAGTGCTGTATATATAAAATAATATAAAGCTACAAGTTAATGAAGCAAATAAAACTTCACCTCCCTTCCTTCAAAAAACAGTTGATTTGGGGGGATTTAGATTAAGTGTTTCCTGGAAATTGCCTGAAAGAATAGTTTTGTTTGATAAGAGCAGAAAGCACCCTTGGCCACCTACCCATTTTGCTGTTTACTGTCACCCTGGGATCCTCTTCTCTGTCCCTCTGCTAGCTCCTGAGCAGTCTCGGAACACACGCTGGTGACTGTGGGCTGCCGTGGGACATTAACTGCAGGTTTACCAGCGCTCAGTGCAGGTGAATGCTGGTCAGCACTAAGATTGGCATTAGCATGCAGTCCAGATGCAGCGAATGGGGGAGGAGTGACAGCAGCCACGGGAGGGGAAGCATGTGATGAAGTGGTCGCGTGGGCCGGGGTGAAGGCGGACGATGGTGATGGGATGGATGTGACTTTTGGTGAAGACATAGAACCAAAGGGCCGTGGTGTCTTATTGTAGGCCATGTTGGTTGTGGAAGTGACTTTGGACACAGCAGGAGATGAAATGGGTACAGGTTTAACTACTTCTTTAGGTTCTCCCTATGTAAAATAAAAATAAACATACACAAAAACACACCAAATACATGCAAAATAGATTCACTGAAAAGAACACACAGCTAGTTTTTAAAAAGACAAACACAATTGTTAGCAGCCCAAACTTTACATGTTTTTAGATAAAAACAATGAGTTGATATAGCATAACATGCATGCTAACTGTTCCCAACATGCATAACACAGATGCACACACTGAATTTTTTTTTTTTTTTATAAAAATGAAAGGAGTTTCAAAATATTTAGGAAATAGAGCAGGAAAGCTATGAAAAAGCCTAAAGGCCATCATAAGTGTCAATTTAGACATATTCCAAAGGAAAAAATTTTAAATACCCCAAATAAATAATACATTGCTAACCAAAATGTTTATTTTAAAATATCCAGAGTCTCAACTATAATTCCATCTTTCAAACATGTTTAATTACTCTCTAGAGCATAATTATTTGATTCATGCAGAAGCAACAGCACATTTCTAACTCTTCAGTGAAAAAACATATAAAGAAGGAATAAGATCATTTTCATCTAACTCAGAAATGTGCACATTCTAATTAATTATTTTGAATCAAGAAACTGCTTTTAAAAAAATCTACGAAAAAGCAAGCGAATTAACAAAACAAAATCCATCCTTTCCCTTTCCAGCAATCTACGAGTTTCTCTCTCTGGAATGTTTTAAGATATCATTCAGGGAATTAACAGGAGTAAAATTCTTTCCCTTTTCCAAAATAAATATTTAATAGTTTCATGAGAGAAAAAAATTATCTTAGACGTTTCTTCACTGCTATAAGCCAAAGAAAAAATAACTAGTAAGAAAGAACAGTTCCTCCTAATATTAACAGAATGTGTTTGTAAATCTCTATTCCAAAGCAAGTGCAAAGTTTTTTTTAAAAAAAGCAAAACAGGTTGAGCTTCTATGACATTCAAGAAGAAATCCCTACTCACCCTACCATCCTGGATGAAAAACAACAAAAAATTTTAAAAAGCATGTACTGGTGGCTCCATTATGTTTAATTTTAAGAAAACAAAGGTAGTCTAAATTAATCTTATAAAGATAATAAAGCTGAAGGGGGTGGATATCTCAGCAAATCAGTATCAGTAATTCAATGGAAAGACACAAGTAAAAGAAAAAAGAAAACCCCCAAAAGAATAAACCAGATGTATATGAACAATGGTTTAGGACAACTTAAGGATATATATGAAAAAATGAGGCATTTGCCAATAACCTAATCCAAAAATACTCTGAAAATGTAATTTAAAATTTATTATTATTAATAAAAAGTTATTAAAGACACTGTGATATTCATTTGCAGTAACTACTTATTTATTCTCTTTAGAATATGTGAATAAAGATAGGCGAATTAAAAGTGAATGTAAGAAATTTGGGCATAAGTTATTGATAATATATGTCAATGGAATAATGTTTCACAAAATATGTATAATTACAGATAGTAATTCTGTATGTGTTGATTTCAATTTTCCTCTGTCATCTTTAAAGGGACAGAAATGAGGTAAATTATACTGAAACTATAAATTGTCAGTATGGCCTGAGAAAGGAATGCAAATTAAAGGCAATCAGAAGGGACTATCAGATGGTACCCTAGTGATACAAGATAAGAAACACACCTTTTGAACAGGAACCGGCTCGGGCCTGGGTGTAGCAGATGCTCTAGGAAGAAAAAAGAGAGAGAAAAGGGGGGAAAAAACATGAATTTTTATAAACTTGCAAATTTCTTATTAATTTAATCTTAACGTTATATACCTTAACATATGCTAAATCAACAGAATTTAGTTTCATAATTCATGGTTTTGACTATTCACAATCTACTAATCAGTTCATGGAACTCAAAAAGCTGCAAGATCCAATACTCTTACACACTAGGTATTTGTGCTCTACATACTCAAACTGGAAAGACAAACACCAAACCTGTTTGTTAATGTACTCATGATTAATCTTTAAATTAAAGCTATTCCTTATCCAAAGGGACAATATATAATAAACATGACTTTCTGATCCTTGAGTGGTTCCCAAAATATCTCATCTGAATCTCTATCTCCAATAGTATCTGCCTTTTCTTCTAAAATCCATGAATATGTCTATAAGATATTGGGTATCTTTGTGAAGATACTGAATAAATTCTGGTTGAACTGGGTCACCAAATGAGTATTTATATTCTTAAATGTGTCTGCAAGTTAATTTACTTGTTATGCTAAAACTAAACTGTAAGTTCTCCCATTAGGCTGTCATTTCAGTCAAGGTGATGACCGTACCATGCATGTACCATTTGAGTGCCAGTATCAGCACTGTGCCTGACATGTACTAGGTCATCAGTAATGAGTGTGGAAAGGAGAAAACAAGGACAAAAATCCATGCATAGGACTGGACTATTTCCAAATTCAAATTAATTATTTTTAATATATATTTTAGTCTTATTACTGTCCCTTTGGTTAGTGTGCTGCACAAATAGTAACAATAATTGATCTAGAGCAATTATCTCAAACAATCATGACAAATAACCGAGTGACAACTTATTGTTATCCTTATTTTTCATATAAGGAAGTTCAAAGTTAAAGTAAATTACTTACTAGGATGGAGCTAAGGCCAACAGTTCTTATAACAATATACTGGCTATAGTCAAAGACAGTAACTAAATGACTGAGAAAGGTTCTAATGATTTAAAGACTATCCAGTATTAAGGTACATGTTGTATTTAATAATGCCAGAAGCAATCTGACTCCTCTTATATCACACAAGCCTGAAGATAAGACATCAAGTGCAGAATTTAAGAAATGTAACCATTGTAGGTAAATAACAAGTGATAACTTTAAACTACAAACCATGAGATCATTTTACTTATAGAGACAACAAACATATCACCAACAGAAGATGCTAGCATAGGTCTCTATGAGCATAATCTAGTAATGAACTTCCAAACAACATTTTTAGCAGCAACTGAATTTTCCAAACTAATTTGGTTAGCTAGGGCAAGCACCGATTGAATAACTGGCTAACCTAATGAGAGGCTATAATATGTGGTTACTGCTACACAAAATTATACTCTGCAGTTGCCTAACTTTTCATGTGTATTCTCAAATAGACTTTCCACTTGTATGCTCAAATTTCTTTTAGCTTGGAGGGTTATTATAACAAGCAAAGGAAACAACTTTGAGTACAGAATAGTGGCATCTTCGTTTCACTGAAATTTCACAATATGTAAATCATAAAGGATCTGTGAATTAAAACCACCCTAGACATTATGGACAGTTTGCCATAATAGAGAGGATGGTATCTTTTTCCATTTGGATCCTTAAAGGTCCATGAAGCTCTTCTAGCAACATAAAAACAATTTATAAAAAGGAACATGATGTGTAACAGTCACTAGGCTTCCGAACAGAATAAAATGCATATGTTCATGCTATGAAAACAAACTCTTTAGTTTTTTCTAGATATTCATTCTTATTTAAACAGCGTTAGCAACAATAACAAAAGCCACAGAATAGTTTTCACTAATTTTGTAGTTTGACATCTTTATTGAAAAAGCATAGAATGTTAATGAGTCCTAACACACTTTGCGAATTGAAAGTTCTACAAAAATACTACTTGAAATTCCGAATTCACAGAAAAAATTTTAAAATCTGAAACTTCAATCTGTTTGCCCTGCTTCCTTCTGATAAGGTCTCACAAGTGCAGTGACATGAATTAAGACAAGCAGAGAAAAGAACTGCAACAGGCCCTCAACTTCCCAGGATTGAGTCTGTTACATATTAAAAACACCAATGTTTTATACAAAATAAAAAAAAAAAAAGCAGACTAGCTTATAGTTAAATGTCAAATAAAACAGTTAACCCTAGATGTACTAAACATTAGTTCTATTGGTTTAAATATTTAAATAACCACCAAATGAGTCATGGAATCACTGATACTTAGAAGTTTCCTTAGAGTTACTTTATCATATGCCAATTAGGTTATTTGTCTGACCTCTGTTTGAATATTTACGGGAGCTCACAATTTAAGTCATGCAATTTTTTAATGATTCTGTTTAAAATGGCCTTCATTTTTGTGTGTTATTTCGCTTTTTGGAGTAAAAAGAAGTTAACCTGTCTGCATTAAAAATATTTAGAAAAACAGCTGAAACACATATAAGGTACATAAAATCTGTAACATGCATTAATTACATTTTAAAAGATCAGTAGACTATGTAAATCTTATAAATGTAATTACATACTTGTATGACACAAACTATTATGGTTCAGAAAATTTTTAATACATGACAAATAAAATCTACAAAATTAATAAATAGCAGTAACAGCAGTTTTTTTTAAAAAAATCAAACTTTACTAATTATAGAATAATGAAATTAAAAGATCACCTTTACTTTCAAATGTGTAAAGATTTTTTTTTTAATGTTACTACATAATGCTTGTGAGACTACTCTATATATTACTGGAATAACTATGTATCATTATAGCTCTTTTGGAAAATAATTTGGCATTAGTTTATGAAAAGCATTGAAGAAAACTCATGCTTTTTTATATATTAATCAAGTTCTGGGAATTTATTGTTAAGAAAATAATCTGAAATATAGAAAAGTTTTTATATGTAAAAATATTTCTTCCTTACAGTGTAACTTATAATAGTGAAAAATTGTAAACAACCAATTAAACCTACAAGAAAATTGTTAACTGCAATATAACCACATGATGAATTGGTATACAATGATTAAATCATTCTTAGAAAAAAAATGAATTGCATGATAACATGCTTACTTTATCAGGTTAATTGGAAAAAGATGACATAAAATAGCATGTACAACATGATCAGTGCATAGAAAAAAGTGGATAGAAACACATCATTTTAATAGAGCCTCCATATTAATAATGTTTGGTTTTTTTCTCTTTTGTATGTTTTCCATATTTTATGCAACATACATGTGCTGCATTTTATAATAAGTAACACTATATCTCAACGCACCCTTCATAAAAGCTACTTTCCAAGCCACGAAACAAACAACAACCAAAAAAAACATTGTTATCAATGATATTTGAGAAACTTGAAGTTAGAGTTACATGAGCATCTTAATCACAGGACTCTCAGAGTCTTTAAATACCTACAGAAGAAAATACTATGCATTGTTGTCCATACCCATCTGAAGTATGGAATACTCATTTATTTAAAATATTCATTTATTTAGGGAGCATTTTTCAAGACTCAAGTTAGGAAGAGGAAAATCCCTCTGGGAAATGATATTTTAAAGAAATTACATCTCTGTAAGTTTGAAATGTTTACTTAGGTCTCCTATATGCAGCTAAAATTAAGGGGAAGAAATATTACAGTCCATAAAATCCTCGAAACCTTTAATTGTATAGAACATCTTTCTTATCAAACTAGTGCTTTCTTGAGCTTTGTTCAATAAATTATCCAAAGACTATGAGCATAATTTAATCAATGTACATATTTCCTATAGTCCCTGGGGGAGAAAGTCCTAACATACAAATAAGAAAAACTATTCCTCAAAAGTAAAATTTTATAGTTGTTTTTTCTTTTTAAGAAAAATATTATATTGAGCATCTGCTCCTTTACCTTGGAAATGTCATAGAGTACTTAAAAGTGAATAATTTTGCAAAGATTTTAAAGAAAGTTTTAAAAACAGGTGTAATTATTAAAAATTATTCCTACATTTTTCTCCTCAAATCCTGGGAAATATACAATAGGATAACATATTTCCCTTTCAACCACAGTGATCATCACAAATCACTTTTGTGTAGTGTGTTTCAAACCAGCGGAGATCTTGGCAATGGCTTAGTGCCACAGACTCAACAATTCGCTTATTGTTCTCTCTTTGCTTAGTGCAAAGCCACTGTATGGGAGTAAGCCATGATGGTGAGAGCCTAGTGCCTTGGCCCAGTGCTATCCTTAGCTCACAGAATTCAAAGAACAAAGCTGTCAGTGTGGCTAGAACAATCTATTCTGAAAGTTGATTAATTTTTGTAGGAGCAGTATCCAAAATAAAAATCCCTGATGCATTACAACCAGAACCTCTGGCTGAACAGTTGAAAGGAGTTCTAAGTTATAATAGATCGTATTAGAAACTAGAATTGTGATGCTCTGGTTAGAATAATGTATAGGAAATATGTTGTAAATAAGCAACAGCTCTATCAAGGGCAAGATTTAAAGGAATCAATCAGAACTGCACCTTAGGAACATGGTGTTATATTTAATGGTGTTATATTTAAGTTGTATTTTTCACTAATTGATGCATTTTCTAATACTACTTTTTAAAATAACAAGTTTTTAATTAATAAAGTAGCTAATGAATGTTCACATTAGTGTTTAAGAATGAGGAATTAAGCAACAGAACTAGACTGATAAATATTATTCACAATATTTATTATGTATTGGTGACTGCTTCAATCATATTTAAGATACTTAACTCATAAACAACCATACAGAAAAGAGGAGGATTCTTAGTTCACCTTCTGTGAGATGAGCTTTATCTAAGTTTCCCACAGTATAGCCATCTTTGGGCTCAGTGACCTCAGGACCCATAAACACTAGGGTACATCATTAATCACTTTAATTGCAAAGTTGTCAATTTGCAATAACAAAGCAAGTCCAGAAGGGAAAAAGTGAGCATTCAAGTGTGCAGAAGGATGTCTCTTTAAACAATT